CCCCCCCCCCCCCCCGCCACCCTACCAGAGCAGCCAAAGAGCTTGCTCAGCATTAATTGGGCTGTTCTGGAGATCTCACAATTTTTTCTCCTACACATTTCTGCATTTCTGCAAATTCTGTAAAATCTGCAAATTCAGCTATAGTTTTCCCCATGTTCCCTGACACCTCTGAGACCATGGGTGATAGTGGTTGGCTTCTACCTCTGAAGATAAAAAGCATAGGAAAATAACTACGGATTTCTAGTTACTTTAAAAAGTTTGGAAAAAAAATGCAGTTCCCTGTCATAGGCCTGCTGTCTAATAGACATAACAGAGAAGAGGGAATGGATGGAAAGGAAATAGGAGAACAAGGAATTTCAGACGTTAATTTTCCATAAAGCTTCACAATACAGAAATAATGAGACATTAAAACTTCTAGGACAGCCTTCCCCACTATCAATATATATAGAATTAAAACTTCCTGAATGCAGTTGCTGTTGGGGAAACAAAGAGAAACACAGGGGAGGGACAACAGGAAGAGATGTGTTACATTACAACCTTTGTTGCCATTTTCCCCTTGATACACCATGGATCAGCAGCCAGGGCATTGATTGCCCTCCTCCCCATCAAAGTTCATTCCCCATTTAAATAAAGATACAAATAATACGTTTTAAACATTAAGACAACCCTGATCTCAATAATCAGCCAACATTGCAGGTGATTGTAAGGTGGGGAATGCCCAGAACCTGAAAAGGTTACCAACTTTTGTGATATCATATCATCTCAGTGAAAAGGAAAGCTGGACATGCAAATATCTTGATAGGAAATATAACTTCCAGACTGATCTCATAATGAGCATTGTGCTATTATGTTAGCATTAGACACTGAACTAAGAAGTTATTTCTGACAAACCTTTTTTAATTTGAATATCTAATAGAGCCACATTGCCTTACAATAAATGTAAGTGTAATATTTGCTTGGAAGTAATGTATCCTGTAATCTATGTGCATGCTGAACATAATACCATTAGAGGTTATGCCAAACATTTCATCTTATGCATTTCTGAGTATCTGTAGCATGGGAGCATTTTTTTTCCTCATAAAAATGGAATTGGTGGATGAAACAAATCATTTAGCTCTAATTTTTCTTTAATTTCAAGTAGTGGCAGACTTGTTTTCAGGAGGACACTGGCAGTCCTATTTCCTCCACAAGGGCCAAACAGTGCAAAGCTGATTTGTGGCTTCTGCAGCTGGCAGCCACCTGACACTTCCTACAGATGTGTTGGACTAAAACTCCCAGAATTTCCACCCAGCAGTCAACAGCAGCACCAGGAAGCATTAAGGAAGTATCAGGGGCATGACAAGGGCAAATGTGGCTACTTCCATCTGCCAGCAGAATCTTTGGTCATGCCAGTTGGAAGGCCAGTCACCTATCTTCATCATCAAATGGATTATGTTTCAAGGCCCAGGCCAGAAGCAGCTTGAGAGTCTAAGGCAGCGTTTCTCAACCTTGGTAACTTTAAGATGGGTGGACTTCAGCTCCTAGAATTCCCCAGCCAGCATGGGGAATCTTAAAGATGCCAAGGTTGAGAAACACTGGTCTAAAGAGTATTGACCTCTGAGACTCATTTTGTTATTAAATGTAGAAGAAGTAAAACAAAAACAATCTCTTATGGCTGGAATGGGGAAGCCAGAGTAAGCAAAGAGCATCAACTGTGTATGATTGATTAAAGTGGAAGGGAAGAAATGCAGAAATAAGATGAAAGAATCTCTGAGGTTTGCTAACAGAGTTTTGTAACAAAGCATATAGAAAATAAAGTTTTGCTTTGTTTTATGGTTCCCCAACCAATATTATAAGCAATATTCATTGGCTGGGTGAATGAAACATTCAGCCAGTTAAGGCCATAGGGAAGTCTTCTTCAACCTGGTGCTTTCCAGAAGTTTTGGACCACAGCTCCTATTATCAATAACTATTTGCCTTGCTATCGGGGATAGAGTTCTAGTCTAAAATATCTGGAGGGCATCAGCTTGAGAAATTGAGGGTGAGAAAAACCAGCATCCTGAAAAGGGAATTTAACATTATTGGTTTTTAGAGCTAAGTTCTTATAAAGTTAAGGAAGAAGAGTAGCAACATCTGCAACAAACGGTAATGGTGATAAAATGACATGTGTGTGATGATGTCGTTGCACAAATGCCTCATTTAGGTATTTGCATGATGATGTCTGACACAAGTATAAGTCACAGAATTGGAGTATGATGTCATCATGCAAGAGTGCCTTCCCTTCCCACAAACCCTCTTGTTCAGACTTTGCCTGTTAACAGAGGCTTGCAGAGTAAATTGTAGTAGAGTGGAGTACTCATGGCTCTGTTGATGTCCACCTCTTCTGTTTATTAGCTGACTTCCATTCTGGAGCTGGTGAAGAACTTTCCCTGTGCAGCAACTAAGCGTAGTAATCTCAGAAGAGCTCTGGCTGAGTACGCAGCACAGTTTGACCCATGCCAGTGTGCTCCGTGCCCCAACAACGGCAAGCCGGTGTTGTCTGGAACAGAATGCTTGTGTGTGTGCCAGGCTGGGACCTATGGCGATAACTGTGAAATACGAGCACCAGATTACCATTCAGGTAGGTGAGTTAACAGAATACGAAGGCACGTATTTCACTACATAGAGCCATTCCCATCTTCTAGTTCTCTAGATTCCAGTATGAAACGTGTCTGAGGTTGATCCAGGCTGTTTTGACTCTATGCAAATCTATTCCCTCTCTCCCCTTCCTTGCAACTCCTCCTGCTCATATATTAGCCCCAGGTAAAGTGACCAAGGATGAAACTGAGTGGAGATAATTAGGAATAAATAGTCTGGAACTGTTTTCTTTCAAGCAAGCTAAAGAGAACTAGCCTTCCTTTTCTTCAGCAGGGAATGAGCCAGTTTGCAAAGCATCAAGCTGCTTCGGGGTGTGTGGGTTTTTTCCCCCTTGCATTAAGTAGTTAAATCCCCCTTCTCTTGGGCAGGGAATGATTGATCATATAAACTTCCTTCCTTCCTTCCTTCCTTCCTTCCTTCCTTCCTTCCTTCCTTCCTTCCTTCCTTCCTTCCTTCCTTCCT